TGATTTAGCAAATGTTCAAGTTTCAATAAAACTACTTGTGACTAGGCATGGGCGGTATCCAAATTTTCATACCGTCAAACCTCCTCCCTATTTTACCGCGGTATACGGTATTACCGCGTGACTAATTAAAAATTACGAGATAAGGCTCAGACGGCATCACACATGATGACACGTTCAACCAGAGAGTGTCGGTTCCAATAATGCATCTAAAAGCTGTCAATCAACTATTAGAAAACAGGAGATACACATTGTCTCACACCAGAGAATGTGAGCAGAGTGGTGATATTTCCTCTAGAGAGGGGAGCGCATTTCTGAAGATCACGCGCCACGAGCTCTCGACCCGAGCCGAGTGGAGCCGAGATAAAATTATTTATTAATAAACTAGTGTTTTCTATGTCAGTTGCTGCAAAGATAAAGATTGCATTGACGATGCAAACTGGCATCTTCGTGGTATGAAAACACGAATAAAGAGTAGCCTAATGCACACTTCATATGAATAAGCCTATAGCAGAGAGCAGCCCATTTCTTTTAGCTTGTAATTGTTTTGTTTAAAAGTATAGACATATAGAAAGTATAGACGTGTTTTCTATGTCAGTTGCTGCAAAGATAAAGATTGCATGCAAACTGGCATCTTCGCGGTAGTGAACGCGAATAAAGAGTAATGCACACTACATATGAATTAGCCTAAACATAAGCAGAGAGCAGCCAATTTCTTTTAGATTGTTAAAGAAGACATTTCAAGCTTACTATAGCCTATATATACACTTCTCAGATCTTGTTTCTTATATGCGAGGTTCATTTCATGTATGAGTCGCGCTCCAGTCACGCGCCGGCTTATTTGCTTATTATTAATTAATCCAGGCAATTCGTTGATGAAAAAAAATTAAAATGAAGATGCAATTTATTCAAAACGAAATTCGTTTTAAAGAAAGGATTTCTACAAAACAAAACGTAATAAGTGGTCATAATCATGTCTGACTGACCCATTCCAAATGTTTTCCGATAGGCTATTGCGCATTTTATGATCTTATTTTAGTCATCTCATGAAGTTCCCTTTTCATAATATTAACATACATAGAAAAACATCATATTATAAAAAAAATATGAAAGGAATACGTTTTTTTTTTTTTCAAGCCTAGCTTATATTTAAGCGTCACACGGTCCGTCCCGCTGTAGATTGCATGTGGCGTGCATGTGGTGGTGGGGCGCAATTTTCAAATAATAATCGAATAATACCAGGCAATCTTTAAATATTATTTTTGCTTGAAATGCCCATCCCTGCCAAACTGCAGAAGTCGTGTTCTTCTTCGAGACCAAGTCACTCGGTGCGCAACTTGCAATCTTTGCCCTCTCTCCCCCACTCTCTCGTCACCACACTGTCACGTCATGAGAACCAGATATAAGCATTTTAGCCATTAAATAAATTGTATTTAAAACATTGCACTTATATAGGAGACAAGGATTCATTGTCTCCTATTTAAGTGCATTGTTTTTTTTTCTGACGGTATGACGATATTCAAAATGATACCGTTGCTATTTTTAGATCCCGCGGTATACGATATTACCGTAATACCGCCCAAGCCTACTTGTGACATGTCATATTTGGCTTTGACTGAACATTTGCCCTCACTTTGCAGAAAAAATATTGGGATATATTTTATTATTTTGTATATCGAAATTCAGCCTAAATATATATCGGGATATGACTTTTGGTCCATATCACCCAGCCGTAGTTGAGATGAAAACTCTTGTTCATTACATTTTACTTCATAATTGCAGCCACATGTGTTGTATTCATTGTTGCAAAACTTGTTCTGTAGTTCGTTTGTTATCGTGATCAAAACCATTGATCTGAAGCTCAATGCTGATGCTGTCATGTAAATAGTTTTATTTCTTATCAGCAATAAATATAGCAATTTCAGATCAACCCATATCAATTGCATGCTTAAAATAACATACCGGTTAAAGCCCCGCCCATTTCAAGACTACCCGACCCACTTCCGGGTTTAGGCCCCGCCCAGTTCGAGTACAGATACAGATAATTCATATGGTTAACAGATACAGATACAGATAATGCTGTACTCGCTCATCCCTACTGTTTATGCATCAGTAAGTCAAGCCAGACTATTGTCAACTTCACATTGTTTCTTTGAGTAGGATGAAAATAATCTTATTTAAAGAAAGTGTTTACCAGGATTTATTGATATTCGGTAAGCACGCGCTGCTTTGTTTAACGTTACGTTATCTGCAGCCGGCAGCGTCGGTTTTCATTTTTGAATGACGAATATAGACTAATATATCTGCAGAAATAGACAGTTGGCTCATTAAATGCAGGCACAGAACGCACATTTAGCTGACAGTCGGCAGTTCTCTCGGTGAGTTCAAGTGCAGCTTTTCGGCTGTAGTTCTCTCGGTGAGTTCAAGTGCAGCTTTTTACCTCGACAAGAGCGGACGAGTTTCGGGGTTTAGAGAGAACATAAACTGCGTTACACTGCACAATGAAGCTCTTGCTGTACATCATCGTGTCTGCATTGGTGAAAGCAGAGAGTGCACAAACTGCATGATTATTCAATAAGATCTTCATTCTTGCGATCGACAGACTGTCATCTGCTGCTCAATACTCATCACAGCAATATTTTATGTGATGAGAATCTGAATACTTCAAAAACTTCTCACGATTCAGTAATCTCGATATCTGTAATAGTAAAAACGTATAATAGCTGTAGTAAAACGTATTCAAGAGAGTTTCACATGTAATATGTAGCTATTTCATATGCAAGCATGTCAGCCAATCACAGCAGTGGGCGGTTACATTGAATCCCACAGCAGGCACACCCCTTCTAACAGACCGTTCTAAGCAGAGGTTAAAATCAGGCTAGGAAAAATGCCTTTCATTTCTAAATTATGACTATTTTTGATCTAAAAAACATACTAACATTATAAGGGCAACCCAGGAAACATTATAGAATAATAATAAAAAAACCCATGTCAGGGGACCTTTAAATGTATTTGCATGTATAATTCCAGACGTAGCCTTGTTTTTTATTGTTTTTTAATGCCAGCGCTGGCTTTATAGCCACTACTAGTTAGCCTATGCTATTTTGTGTCTACGCCAAACGCGTACAAACATTATGGACCTGAATTTTCTATAAGTACTAATGTTTTAAACGTATTTTTCATTATGCTTTATGACGTTATTTTCAATTTGATCAAGAACGTAAACATGCCAACGCTGTTTGAGTATAACATTAGTCGCCAGTCAGTTGCTATTGTTGCCAGTCAGATGCTATTGTGTAAAATAAACGTGTATAAAGTTAAAAAATGTAGCAAATTATCATTCAGAAACATTTAGTAAGAGCTGTAGTATGTGGTGAGGTTCTGCTTGACTCTCTTCATCATGGCTTTCTCGGTCTGATTATGCCTGAAACTGATACTGCAGTTCGACACATATTTACATCTGGACCGGAGCTCATGACATGCACGTTTCGCCCGTAAAGGTAATGGGCGTTAACCTTACGGACAACGTGAGCGACAGTTTAGCCAATCACAACACACCGGGCCAAACTAACCAATCTGAGCCCACTACGTGTTTCTGAGGGAGTGTTTTCATAGAATCAGGAAGTGAACCGCTCGTTCAGGGGACAGAGGAGACATTTAAAATATATTGATTCCTGTAATAATAATTATTTATTCATGTGATATTTATAAATCTGGGTGCGTTTTTGGTTGGAAATCAATGAAACATGGTACTGTATTACCTGGTCTCCCCTGTTTATTGTCATAGCTCATACAATAAAGCAAACACCCATGATAAACTATGCTTTTCTATCTAACGTTAGTAATTGCTGACTCTTTACTCCAACACTGAGCGAACTCTCTGCTCCTCGTCACGGTGCGTCTCAGGTGATGGTTATCACTCTGCCCAAGTAGCAGTGCTTCGCCTTCAGAAAATATAGTATCTATACGGTCAAAAGATGTCTGTGTCTCATATGGCCTTGATATTTGCACACTCTGTGACTATACAAACCACAACATGTAAATAGGAAAACGTTTGCGTTATTTTGTCACTTATTTGGATTAGTATGAAAGCTGCAACCATTCACATCCAGTCTTTGTGCTAAGCTAGGCTAGCGGTGAGTGCGTCAAACATACTTATAAGACGCACGGAGATGAAAAAGGTATGTATGGACTTATCTAACTCTGGGGGGGTAAGGTGAATAGGCTAAAGTCCCAAAAAGTCGGAGTGTTCCTTTAAGCTTCAAGAACGGTAGGCTAAAACATAAAAGCTGTCGGTCAACAGCATGTAACGAGGTTCGATCTTGCGTCGTTTGGAGGTCTATGAGGTTGAGGATAATGCGTTAACCACACAGCTATCGCTAGACTGCTAATGCATTGTTGTCTTATGCGATTGTAAAGCCTCATTGATGTAGCCTAATATGTTTCAACTGCAATGTTTTAAGGTTTCATTATTTTTTCAATTTAATTTCAGTATTGTGATTAATTAATTAATTTAACTACATTTCACTTGAATTAATCTGCTACCATCTTTCAATCGCTCTGAAAGAGCCGTGGCGCAGCTGAAGATTACACAAAAAACGGACACTTTTCAAAGTCTGTGATTGTAGCGCCCCTTAGCGGCCAAAGGCAGCAAATACACCTCAACCTTTACCGCCGCAACCACATTCTGGTTGTCTACCTACTGTAAATGATCTATTATTCATCGGCTTTGATATATCGGCCCAATTTTCTTATCGGATCGATAATGATAACATCAAAAAAGACCATTTATCGGCCGATATCGATATGTGGTCGATATATCGTGCATCCCTAATATATATATATATATATAAATTTTTGAATTTATAGTCAAAAATATATGGCAAATAAATTAAATAATCCACACCTACTGAAGTGGACGCTATATAAATCAACGTTTTATGAATATGTTAATGTGACAAGAGTGATTGGTAGATGCAGCTGATGTGTGAAGAAGCACTTACACAAGCTTCATCTCAGAGGAAGAATTGAGCAGTGCCACCAGACTCTCCACCTTCCCAGACTCAGGTCTGAAGCAGGGATGGTCTGGATTCAGGGTTTTCCCTTCCTCTGGCATGCAAGTCTGCAACCACGTCTCAAAAAAGGGTGTCTCGCTCGATGGGCTGGGGTCCGAGAGAATCACCTGAACAGATAAGGAAGAGGATGTCAATGACTCAAGTGTAGGATAACGCCTTAAAAATAAGAAGTGTTCTGTGATGGCAGGATGTGGTTATGAATGAATTATGTAATAATGTTACACAACTCTATCAGACTGTAAAATTCTTTTGCTATAAAGCTCAAACACTTAATCTGTATAATACATGTGTGGAGACTGACCTCTGACCCATAGGTCTGCACGACATGACACAACATGAGGAAGGAAATGTCAAACAACAGAGCTCGCACTGACGCAGACTTCGCTGTAAAGTATATTCACAGGTGTTATGTAAAAGTCTGTATATAGATAAATATTACTCTATATTTAAATAATAATAAAATAAATAAATAATAATATTTAAATATTAAATAATATGTAAATATTACGGTCTGTATTACTCTAGTAATACTCAAGGACAGAGTGTCCTTCACACATTAAGTTATAATTTAAAAAATACATGAAGATGACAATTTTAAAAGTGTCCCAAAATTGATTCTTGCATAAACATATAGACCATTTTGCAAGATGTAAACAACACTGGTCCAGAAGCACTTCCTGTTTCAGTTTTTTAGCACTACACAAAAGCTGGGATAAAATACAACCAACAGAACATGTAAAACTGAATCAAAAAGTTAAACAACATCTTTAAGATGTTTTCTTTACATGTGAAATAAAGAAAACAGTTACAAACTGAAACGGGAAGTGTTTCTGGACCAGTGTTGTTTACATCTAGCAAAATGGTCTATAAGCCTAAAGCCCATCTGAATAATAACTGATTAACAGGCTGCATGTAATCGAAGAAAAATAAAGCACGTAACTTACATCCTTCTCCACTGATGTGTTTTGGAAACTCATTAAGCCTGAAAGATAACAGCAAATATTATATATAAATATAAATACTTTGTTTATGTATTTCTTTGAGGAAATATAAGATGATCCTGATGCAATGTATCCAATTTCTGTCATACTTGATGAATTTGCGAGCAAAAGACTTTAGTTTCCCAGTCGCTGCGGCAGCGGCCAGTAGCAAATCAAGACTTTTCCCTGAGAGCATGTGACCCAAAACTCCCAGCAGCCCCTCAGGAGACTTAGAATGATCAGCATCCACAGTCTGGACAAACAGAAAGAGAAGAAAATCGTTCAGCTAACAGGTTACAATAAGGTTCAATTTGTATATTAGTTACCATGAACTAACAATGCAACAAATAATTCAAAAGCATTTATTAATCTTAGTTAATGTTAATTTCAACATTTAGTAATACATTATTACAATAAAAAGTTGTTTTATTTAAAAAACCTGAGCTATAAACTAACAATGAGCAGTTGTATTTTTATTAAATAAAGGATAACACCTTATTTTATAGTGTCCTTGTTACATGTAACATGCTCTTATCATAGTAATAACAGTAAAGTATGCGTAATAACATAACTAACCCACAACCAAACCCTAATCCTACCCTAACCCGATTATATAATAAATAATATTACTCCATTATTAAACATATAATTACATGACACCTCAAAATTAAGTGTAACTAAATAAAGTTAAAGAGTAATAAATATTGTAAAAAATGAATTGTGCATTGTTAGTTAATCTGCAACTAATATTATTGAGAAGTGGTGTTACCCTTTTTTTTTTTATAACATACTAAGGTAAACTGTCTGTTAAGTGCTAGGGTTTCTTCCCTCCCCTTTTTGTTTATTGGTTGCTGCATTTCTTCCCTCTGTTGTTGGTTTCTTCTTGTTTTCCCGCTCTCTGCTATCCTTGAGTTTTTAGGTGCTGCTATTGGTCGGAGACAACCAATCGTCGGCTGTGGTTCTGATATAAGGCTCCAGAGAACGGAATAGGAGGAGCTTGTGGCGCTTTTCCACTGCATAGTACGGTACGGCTCACTTGTGGTGCTTTTCCACTGCATGGTACGGTACAGTACGGTTCGCTTCAGGTCGCTTTAAATAGTACCTGGTCTGTTGAGGTTCCAAGCGTACCGTACCGATACTAAAATGTGACGTGAAACACTGCAGATCACTGATTGGTCAGACAGAATCGTCACTACTAGCGTCATTGGATTTGCGACACGAGACACGAGACACTTTTTTAGCAGTATTTTTGTTTTGCTGCCATCAGCCTTATTTTAAACACATTTTTCCGTCTAGCAGTTAAAAACAACCACATACCGAGAATCAGGAACACCATCCCCTCGATAGTCTCCATTGTTCCTGTGTTGTGGGTTTGAAAATGTGGCGCTTTTAAGATGATGTCATGGCAGTAGAGGCGCGCGCAAATAACGATCAGTCCCACACACTTTGAAGGGGTACTACTGCAGTGGAAACGCAAAGCGAGCCAAAATGTTCCGCGCCGAGTCGAAGCGTACGGGGCCGAACCGTACCGTACTATGCAGTGGAAAAGCGCCTTTGGAGTGTTTTTGGCTTGTGTTATTGTTGTTGATGAGAAGTACTGACTTTGTGTTGGTTCGCTTGTTTGTTTTTCTAAGTAGGATTGTGTTGCTCATTGAGGACTGTCTGACCTGGGGCCCGCTTCAATAAGGAGGTTCATAGAAGTCTAAAAATCTACTCAAGTAAAAAGTAGTTAATTTAAAACATGAGTAAAAGTTGCTGAGTAACTTGTTTAACAGCGGGGGTGGGGTGGGGGACTCCCCCATGTGGGGAGAGTTTCACAGTCTGAGAACCGTTTCAGAAAATATCACAGTTTATGGTATTAAACAATTATTAAATATATAAACTGCATTATTAAATTATGGTTATTATTATCATCAGTTAAAATGACAGTTAAATAAATTAAACATTTGTTCAATCAAACATAATCAACTAACTTCAATAATTGATTATGAATAAGATTAACATCTTATTTTATCATTTATAACTTATTAAATTATGTTTGAAAAATAATTCTAGTATATAGATATATTCTATCTAGTATATGAAAAATAGAGTTCTAGTAAATGTTTTTTATTCCAATTTTTTTAATGATTTAATAGAAATTTATCAAAAACGGTGGTAATCAAATTAAACTTTAGCAAACGTTTTAATCCTTTTATTTTTTGGCAAAGTGCTTCAAAACAAATTTAGTCAATTAAACCATGGACAAACAATTTATATTTCATAAAGAATGTGTAAATACATTTTAGTATTATTGTTGGTGTTTAAACAGCACTTCCTCTTTAAAAAAAGTGGAGGAGACCGCAAGAAACTCTGGGTTTACTAAAGCCTTGTTCACACTACATGATTTAAAAACGTCGGGCTGAACTGTGCGGTTCACACTACATGACTTGCTCTCAGTGAAATCAGGAGTGTTCAAGTTGTTTAGCTGGTCACACCACACAAGGAGGTAACTCACTGCACGAGTTGACAACGCACTACATAGAGATATACAACCACGATCGGATGATAAGAGCAAATCATTTGTGACTCGAGTTGACAACGCACTACATAGAGATATACAACCACGATCGGATAAGAGCAAATAATTTGTGACTCAATGAGAGCTGTTTCAGTACTATGTTACGGTCTAAATCCTGAAAATAATCAAATAAATAACGAGTTGACAACAACTCTGTCACCCAACGATTCTATCTCGTCTACAAACCACGTTTTGTCATAAAAAAACGTGAAAAACCAGCAATAAAACGAACCAGAAATGACGCGAAACACCACGTGCGAAGAGAACACAACACGTGAATATGGACGTCAGACAGAAACACTGTTGCTGCACACTGCGCAACGATCTGCTCTGAGAAAAAAATGCAAAAAAAATATAAAAACTAAGATTTACCTGGTGTCTTCAACCCATGCGTTGCTATGATTGGCTGTACTCATGACATCACTGAGATTGAGTCGCGCGACGGCTCTGGATATCTAGCAGGCTAGATATTTTTCTGGGCTCTGCGAGGCGTCTGCGAGCGTTTTCGCTGCGTTGTTTGCTCTTTCATACTAACAGATTGGCAAGCGTTCATCGTCCGCTAATCCCCCGCAATTTGCACGCGATAACACCCTGACCTGTCGGCGAGCTCAACGATTTGCAAATCGGGCATAAATCGGGCTTAAAATCCTGTAGTGTGAACTTGGCTTTAAGAAAACCTGCCCCCGACCAGGTTAGGTTCACAGAGTGAGAAACGATGGTAACTGACTCTGAGTATAAGTTACCTCTCTTTCAGAAACGGGCTTGATTTACTCTGCTTTCTCGGGTTTGATATACCCCACTTTCTGAAACGGAAAACTCAGAGTTTCCCTCATTTCAGGGTTAACATACTCAGAGTTTTCACTTAACCTCCTTTCTGAAACAAGCCCCTGATCTCAACTGGTACTAGCCCGGAGAAAAGAGAAAAGGGAAGTACGTCACGTGACCTACATTTTACATACACGTAGAGAAATGCCATTTTTAGACACACTAGGGAAGGAGCGTGTGCACTGTGCAACTATATGTAACTTTTGTTTGATTAGTTAGTGAAGTTTTAGTTATGGCGTTTTGACGCTGAAGAATTCTTTATTTCCTGTTTTGTTTTCCAGGGAGTTTAGAGAGTGGGGATTAGTTAGTGAGTGTTTTTGTTTTGTCTTTTTGTTTGTTTAACACCGCTCATTTTCTTTCTCTCTGTGGCTTATTCTGAATATTATTATATTTTTTTATTTTTTTTTCTTAAGTTGTATATAGTTGTAAATAAGTTTGTTTGTTTGTTTACATTTATTCCTTGTCTGTATTGAAAATAAAGCAAACCACCTGTTTGCAGTAACTTGCTGTCTTTGATTCATTCACCCAAAATCCTCCCCAGAGACCAAAACTGTAAGAAAGTGTTTAATTTTATTGTACGTCTTCCTTATACTTCACTTATACCATCAGGAGACATAACACTGTCATAAAAATAAAATGTCAATAAATGTAGTTTTTGATCTCAATGTTTCATCAAAATACCATAAACGGATCAGCCGGTGTAATCTTGTGTTCTTCTGTCTCCACTTTTGAGTGAAACGCTCACATCTCAAAAACTGATGCACAGACTAATGCGCCAACATTTTTTTCATTCAGATAATACGCAACACTGTTCTGTCACTCTTTCAGTTTCATCGTGACTATAAAAAAGCTAATTTCTTATTTTTGATATTGGGGTAAAATATAACTTGCAGAACTTTAACAGACTTTGTGTTCTTCCAAGACAATCAATATAAAATGATAGAAAATAAAATGAGGACCTTAAGGATGTTGGTGACTGTTGGTTCGGCTCTCAGGATGAGGCCTGGGTTGGGCTGAATATTGGCATTCTCTGCTGTCTTCAGTCTGGGCGCATGTTCTCTGTCCTCAGTCCTAAAAAAAAAAAAAAAACATGGCACAGAGAGAGAAATCAACAAGGAACATAGATCAATAATGTGCATGTTGCCACATTTTAATTATATAATAAATATAAGAATAAAATGTTCTGATCATACCGTTTTGCAGTAAGATTGGCAGTGTTCGAATCAGACAACAGCCCCAGTTTATTACACTCCTGCAGTAACAGACTCAAGCAGTCACAGCTACACACACACAAACACACACAATAGTGAACAACAGCTTTATAACTGAACAAAAACACTATTGTGAAGTCAAAAACACAAATGGAGATTCAGTGGTATTCTTCAGTACCATTTACACATCATGGTACATGATTATGGTAACAGATCAGTGTGTATATATGTATGTAAATTCCAAGCTCTACCAGTTGATCGAACACCATGGCATTAATAAATACTATGAATGTGCTGCCAGTAATTTTAAATAAAACAGGTGTTAGATCAACTGGTAACACAGGTGTTGATAGTGGCGACATACTTGCATCTCTGGTCGGCTTTATCCAGCAGGGGAGTGAGATTCAGAAGATATTCAAATGCCACACTCACATCCTCCGTAAAATCCTAACAAACACACACACCTCTACAGGTCAGATGGAGTGATTGCCATTTTGGATTATGTGGACGGTCATATTTTGCTGGCAGACATCTGAGGTTTCAGGTGTCATGTGAGACACAAATTAGAACTAGAACCAAAATAGTTAAAATTCTAAATGAACAGAAGAAGTAAACAGCCAAATAATTGTACCTGTGTCTTCTCTCCTTGTGGGTACTTCTTCAGCCTTAGTAAAACCTGAGGAATCTGGAAATGTCATGTCAAAAAGATGAATTTTACTCTACAAATAACAGCTTGACAGCTTGATAGATAATTATTGTCTGAAACAAAATCAATTAACATAGATAGAGTCTTCTTGTTGAAATAAGTTTACTAAAAATGAACATTTTCTGTCTTAATTTAATCATGATATTCATGTATCTAACATCAATGGGGAAGGAAATGGTTTCCACATATATGTTAGTCCTTAAAAAGGAACACACTTGTTTGTTCATAATTAAAGGTGTATAATTAAGCGATGTCACGTGTTTTTTAGGCCAAAACATTGTCACATACAGCAAACATCTCCTCACTATCTGCTAGCTGCCTGTCCCCTGAAAAAATTAGGTCTCTGTAGACACCCCAGGCTCCACAAACAGCAACAAAAACAAACTGGGCCAGCCCGCACATTTTATTTTGTGGGGATTCTTTATTTTATGATTTAATAAAAATGTACAAACTAACAATTTAATCAAGCTTTTAAAATGTAAATCAAATGAAAATATAATAATTAATTTACAACAAAACATTGCATTTTTTTTGTCAAATAAGATGCTGCACAACTGTATACATTTAAATTGACATGGATGAAAAAACATTTTTGGTTGTATGATATTCCTTATAAATAATAATAATATTATTTTTATTTTGAGAAGCACATTTTAGTATAGACTAGAGTACCGTAGTGATGTATTTTCTGTCATCATTTCTTGAAGTTAAACTGGACTTTTATTTTGAAGGTTTGTCATGAAGATCTTTCAGTTAGTGTATATAGACCCCTTTTGCGCCGACGTCACAGTTACGTCACGGCGCTAGCTGGAGGCAAAACAAAGTGAAAACTGCAGACGGCCAATGCAAAACAGCACAGATTCGGCTACATAATAAGGAGCTTTAATAATTGTTATTATTATTAAATGTCATTTTATTGTGTTGTTTGGTGCAAGAATTGATGAAATATGAATATGCTGTATCTGGAACTTTTATTTCTAGAAAATATTCACATCATTAAAATCGCACTGTAATGTCACTCTTTACATTGTCGTGGTCTCGGCGCTGGCTCGGCAGAACTGCGGATCGTACACACAAGTCTTGTACAGGACCATATAGGCATCTAAAGATTTATATGCCCTCAGTTTCTCTTTACGATCGGTTTCTCTGTAAGTGTAGAAGTCAGGCCACTCAACCGAGGTAACGTACGTTAATCCTGTCAGATCGTCCATGCATTGAGTGAGCGTGTAGGCGGCTACGGGTCGGCCAATCTGGTTCCGTCCGTTAAAAATAACTTTTGAAAATAACAATCGCGGTCCTGGACACTGAGTGACCTTACTCATTAAGATAATATCGGATTTTCTCCAGTCATTGTTAAAAAACAAGCTAACAATCCTTGCTAACTAGCGTTAGTGAATGCGGCCAGATGGATCTTTCTGCCTCCACCTAAGCTCCGCCCACAAAAAAATGTCACCATGTTTACCAACTGTAGACCCTTTTACAGTTGGTAAACATGGTGACGTTTTTTCCTGGGCGGAGCTTAGGTGGAGGCAGAAAGATCCGTCTGGCCCTTCACTAACGCTAGTTCGTGCCTATTGATTGCCTATTGATCGTCTCATTTTACACCCGTTTCACTGAATCCTGGTTATTTCCGACATTTCAATCCTAAATTAGTAGTGATAGTTGTAGTATCCCTACTAATTTACTGATCATCCGTTATAATGGCGAACATATCAGATGCGTGTCTAACATTACCTCTGAGTGCAGATGAAGACACATTCGAGCTCTTCACGGTGAAGCAGGAGCTGGAATACGTCGAGAAACAGATCCGTGGTCTGCTGGTGAAGCAAGCCGAGCTGCTGGATCGGCGCTCAACGCTTGAAGCATCACGCGCCGACGCTAACAAATCAAATCACTCTTTGACTCCGAGTTCATCTACGCCGTACGTTACTCTGCCGAGGAAGATGCGATCATCTAAGGCTTCATTCACTCCGGCACCGAAACAACATGGACCATGGATCACACAGCGGAAGACACGAGCCAGGACCAGAGCTGCCTCTCCGCCCCTCCCGGTCTTCGAGATCTCCACCCGGAACCGCTTCTCCCCTCTTCGCGAGCCGGAACGCGATGACGCCGTGATCATCGGCACATCCATAGTCCGCCATGTCCGCGCTAATTCGGATAAAGGTAAAGTGCGCACTCACTGCTTTCCTGGTGCTCGTGTTCTTGATGTTGCTGCACAGGTTCCCGAGATCCTGAACGGGGACGAGCGCGTCGGAGCTGTTGTGCTGCACGCGGGAGCGAACGACATCAGGCTGCGGCAGACGGAGGTTCTGAAGAAGGACTACAGGAGCCTGATCGAGACGGTACGCAGCACAGCGCCTAAAGCAGCGATCATCGTGTCTGGACCGCTTCCCACGTACAGACAAGGACAGGAAAGGTTCAGTAGACTTTTTGCATTAAATGAATGGTTAATGTCATTGTGTAATGAACAGAGGCTGCACTTTGTAAATAACTGGCATCTGTTTTGGGAAAGACCGAGGCTGTACAGCACAGATGGTCTCCATCCCAGCCGAATCGGAGCGGCTGTGCTGTCGGACAACATTTCCAAGACATTACGCACCAGATGACTAATGAGTCAAAGTCCAAATTACAGCCTTTGCGGTCCAAACTTAACTAATAAGCATAGTGTGGAACATTATATAGAAACTGTGTCTATTCCTCGTTTAGTGAAGCCAAACAATAAATCTAGTGTAGGATCTAGCAAAAATCTTATTGTAATTAAACCAGAAAATCTAAATATCAGTCAACAAAAACAATTTCTAAAGCTAGGTCTCCTAAACATTAGATCGCTCACACCTAAGGCGGTTATTGTAAATGAAATGGTCACAGACAATAACTTCGATGTTCTGTGCCTTACTGAAACCTGGCTTAAACCAAATGAGTATTTCGGTCTAAACGAATCTACTCCGCCAGGATACTGTTATAAACATGAGCCTCGTCTGATCGGTCGTGGCGGCGGTGTTGCAACAATCTATAAAGATATTTTTAATATTACTCAGAAAACAGGTCACAGGTTTAATTCATTTGAAGTACTTGTGCTAAATGTTACGCTCTTAGATGTAAGAAGGAAATCTATATTATCTCTAGCCCTGGCTACTGTATATAGACCTCCAGGGCCATATGCTGAATTCCTAAAAGAGTTCGCAGACTTTCTCTCGGATCTATTGGTAAATGTCGATAAAGCAATAATTGCTGGAGATTTTAACATACACGTAGATAATACAAATGATGCGTTAGGGGCTGCGTTTACAGATTTATTAAACTCCTTTGGGGTCAAACAAAACGTCAGTGGTCCCACTCATCGTCTAAATCATACACTAGATTTAATTATATCATATGGAACCGATCCAACTGATATAGATATTATACCGCAAAGCGATGATGTCACTGATCATTACATGGTGACTTGCATAATACGTACTGCTGAAATATGTCATGTTGCGCCACGTTATAGACCAGGCAGAACAATCCTTCCAACCACTATAGATGGATTTTCAAATAGCTTACCTGATCTATCTAAGCTGCAAAGTGAACCCAAACAAACAGATGAATTAGAGGAAATGACTAGCAGTTTAAGCACCATTCCTACTAGTACATTAGATATTGTTGCGCCAATTAGATTAAAAAAGGTTCGAGAGAAAATTAAAGCACCATGGTACAACAGTGCTACGCACGCTATCAAGAGAGAAACTCGCAACTTAGAGCGTAAATGGAAACAAACTAATTTAGAGGTCTTTAGAATCGCGTGGAAAGACAGTATGTCACGTTATAAAAAGACACTAAAAACAGCCAGGGCTGAGCATCTCCGCAAACTAATCGAAAATAACCAAAATAATCCAAGGTTTTTATTTAACACCGTGGCTAGACTAACAAATAAACAGACATCACCAGAGCAAAATATACCTTTACAGTTTAGTAGTAATGATTTTATGAATTACTTCAATGCGAAAATAGAAAGCATCCGAAACAAAATTATAAATGTACAATCCGCTATGGTGTCTTATGATTCAGCTTCAATTATGGACCCTCTAGAACAACTAAACCGCTTTACAACGATAGGACAGGAGGAGCTAAATAAACTTATCATTGCATCTAAACCAACAACTTGTTTATTAGATCCAATACCCACTAAACTACTGAAAGAACTATTACCTGTAGTGGAAGAGCCTCTCCTCAATATTATTAACTCGTCTTTATCTTTAGGTCATGTCCCAAAAATATACAAGCTGGCTGTAATAAAACCGCTCATTAAGAAACCGCAATTAGATCCAAATAACTTGGCAAATTACAGACCCATTTCAAATCTTCCATTTATGTCCAAAATACTTGAAAAAGTAGTGTCCGCTCAATTGTGCTCTTTTTTGCAAGAAAATGATATCTATGAAAATTCCAGTCAGGATTCAGACCGCATCATAGTACAGAAACTGCGCTAGTTAAAATTACAAATGATTTACTTTTAGCTTCTGACCAAGGCTGTATCTCAATACTAGTCCTACTTGATCTTAGCGCTGCGTTCGACACTATAGATCATATAATACTCTTGGATCGACTACAAAACTTCACCGGTGTCCAGGGACAGGCATTAAGCTGGTTTAGATCGTACTTATCGGACCGTTCTCATTTTGTCTGTTTAAATGGGAAAAAATCAAAGATAACGTCAGTAGACTATGGAGTACCGCAAGGATCGGTTTTAGGCCCTCTGCTATTCTCAATATATATGCTGCCACTTGGTAATATTATAAGAAAACATGGAATTAATTTCCACTGTTACGCTGACGCCACTCAATTATATATTTCATCACGACCAGATGAAAACACTAACTCATCTAAAATGACAGAGTGTCTCAAAGATATAAAATGCTGGATGACGCGTAATTTCCTGCTATTAAATTCAGATAAAACGGAGGTATTACTTATTGGTCCAAAAAACTACTCAC